CCATGCTAATTTTTCCCCTACTGTTACTCACACCTTCTTGTCAACTGTTGGAAATGGACCATCCTGATTATCACTACAAAAGTTTTTTTTCTCCTGCTGATAATAGCCCACCTTAATTGATTAGTCTCGTTAGAGTTGGTATGGCAACACCCATTTTTTTCATGTTCTCTGTGTATATATCTCTTCCTACCCTATTTTCCACTGCATGCATCCGATGAAGTGGGTTCTAGCCCACGAAAGCTTATGCCCAAATAAATGTGTTAGTCTCTTAGGGTAGGTCTACACTTACCTCCGGGTCCGGCGGTAAGCAATCGATCTTCTGGGATTGATTTATCGCGTCTTGTCTAGACGCGATAAATCGATCCCGGATCGATCCCGGAAGTGCTCGCCATCGACGCCGGTACTCCAGCTCGGCGAGAGGAGTACGTGGCATCGATGGGGGAGCCTGCCTGCCGCGTCTGGACCCGCGGTAAGTTCGAACTAAGGTACTTCGAATTCAGCTACGTTATTAACGTAGCTGAATTTGCGTACCTTAGTTCGAAATGGGGGGTGAGTGTGGACCAGGCCTAAGGTACCACAAGTACTCCTGTTCTTTTTATTGATTTACAGTGAGCTTTCTGCTACATAACCACTAGGGCGGGTGTTCTGAAGATGGAGTTACAAACACCCATTTTCCCCCCCATAGTGCTAAAGTGGAAGGGGGCCCCATAAGGAAGAGGTTGAAAGCCACTGCCTCACAAGAGCAGTACGGTTGCGGGTACTATAAAGTACATCTTTAGAATGACCTTACTTTGCAAAGGGTAGCTCGATACTCGAAGCAGTAGTGCTAACAGAATGCTATTGCAGCCTGGCAAGTGACGTTTATTGCCGTCTCGTGGAAACTGGCTGTAACAGTTCTGCAAACTCACAGGCAGGCCGGAGATTCTCCACTGCCCTGCAGCTTGGGCGGTCATTTACACTTGTACAAACGGCAACCACCATTTTAGGTGAAAGGAGGATTCTGATTGGGTGCAATTTTACCCAAGGTAAGTGAACATAAGAACAGCCAGACTGGGTCAAACCAAAGGTCAATCTAGCCCAGTATCCTGTCTTCTGACAGTGGCCAGTGCCAGGTGCGTCAGAGGGAAGTGACTACAGAATGTACCAGGCAAGGGAGAATCAGGCCGGTAGCCCCGCTTAGCGCTAAGTGAGACAATGAGCGTTGTCATCCCTAATATTTTGGCTTCTATCTTAATAAAACAAACTGCCAGAGATTTTAGACTCAGCACTTCCCGAAAACCAGAATAGGGCAGTGACTATCTGGTACGCACCAGGGTTTTCAAGGCCTCTGAACTCAAGTCTGAGAACACTTCCCTCTCCCCACCCCCGCCCAGTGAGACTTGAGGATGCTTGATATCACAGAGGTGGTGCTCATCACCTCGCCGAGATCAGTGCTTAATGAGGCTCAGACAAACTTGCAGGGTTGCTTTGCTAACAAGAACATTCAGTCACACAGAAAAGCTTTTAAAAAATAGCACCCCTCAAGTTTAGAAGAGATGTAAATCTTTAATCTGGGTATTAGCTAACCTCTAACTAAGGGGGTTGGGAAGAAACTCTTCTTGTGAGCACTTGGGATACCCACTTAGAGCTTCTTGGACCTTCACCAGAAGCATCTGCTACCAGTCACTGTCAGACACAGGATAGCAGACAAGAAGGGACCACTCATCTGATCTTTCTTATTAACATTACAACTTGATACTAAAAAGTAGGCTTCCTACTTGGGCCAAGAACTGCAGCTGTACTGGCTAAGTTTTCAGCGCTAACTTGCTCTGAGCTATCACAAGAATCACTGCCTTTTTATTACTCATGTGCACAATTCACCGCCCATGCCTTTGCAACAGAGCCTGGAAAAGAGAGAGAGAGAGAGACTGGTTCTGAACCAGGGTCATGCCTGTACTTAACATATTACTTTGCTACTCTACTGCCAGACACAGAAGAGCCTTCTGAAGCATCTAGTGCATAGTCTGAAAACCTTAATTCTTCACATTACTGTTGAATCCCACCTTACTGTAAAGAGTTAATAACAGTCATACATGGATTATTTCACTTTTTAAACAAGATATTATGGTTATAAAATATGGGGTCTATAAAGAGAAAATAAAACAAAATGTTAAAAGTTTATTTCTAAGTGCATTAGATTACCATCACTAGGTTAGGCAATTGCTTTTGTCAGCTGTAACTCCTAGCTGGCTATGGAGCCATACACATCTTTCAAAAGAAGAATCTAGTTCATTAATCACACAACTGAAATGGTAGGAGAAAAGATAACAGAAAATGGAGCTCAGGGGTGGAATTAAGAAACAATAGTTATCCCCATTCAACACTAGACTACATATAGAAACCAATGCCACCAAAGTATCCAACCCTTTTCTATTATACAACCCTGACCTGACGTTTTCCTCAGAGTTATTTCCCCTCATTCTTTCCATACGTCCATCAGACAGCTTTCTCCCTAATACTAACTAAGAAAACAGAGCACCTACATTTTCAAGACCCCAGACTCCTCTGCTTCCCAGCATGCTTTGCTAGAAGACTGAGAGGGAGGCTCCCCCTCCTTAACTTGGCATAAGAAAGGCTAATACTTTTTTTTATCATCTATGAACAAGTTTTGCCACTGCCTTTTCCTGTAATTCTTATCTGAAGCTATATTATCTTAGTTTTGTACAACTAAGGAAAAACCTTGATTTCTCTCCCCCCCCCGAGGGCTCAAGGAAAATAAACACCGTTTGTTGAAGAGTCTCTCTTTAAAAAAAATCAAAAAACCTTGAGGGTCTTTCCTAATTCTTAGTGACCACTTGTTCTGTTACAGGCTATACGATAATAAAAGCAACTCTATAATATTGATTTGTAGCTGATTGCTTTTGCTTCAAGAACTGTTTTTTACTAATTCTTTATTCTCATACATTTGTTCCCCCATCGCTCCCAAGCACTATAAACTAGTTTGCTTCTGAGGCAAATCTGTTAACATTCTGATCAAATGCTCTCCAATTTGTGCAGGTGCTGGTGAGATTCATGTATTCCGTCAGCAAGGGTTACAGGAAGGTTACTTACCACAACTGGCGGCACGGCTTCAATGTGGCACAGACCATGTTCACGCTTTTAATGGTATATCTTATGTACGACTACTATGTTTTCCCTCTTAACTCCAAAGCATAGTTTTATTTACAGGGACTCTTATGTAGTGAATAGAAATCTTATGTGTTTTCTTACAAGTCTCTGCCAAAGCCCTTTTTTGAAAAAGTCTTGTTAAGAAAAAATACAAAACTTAATCTAGAGAGTAATTCACACAAGGCAAGTGGGTCTCGGTCCCCCTCTAGTGGCTGGTCCACATAAATTTATGACCCTGATATTACTTCTAGCTCAGGGGTAGGTAACCTATGGCACGAGTGCCGAAGGCGGCACGCGAGCTGATTTTCAGTGGCACTCACACTGCCTGGGTCCTGGCCACCGGTCCAGGGGGCTCTGCATTTTAATTTAATTTTAAATGAAGCTTCTTAAACATTTTAAAAACCTTATTTACTTTACATACAACAATAGTTTAGTTATATATTATAGACTTATAGAAAGAGACTTTCTAAAACATTAAAATGTATGACTGGCACGCGAAACCTTAAATTAGAGTGAATAAATGAAGACTCGGCACACCACTTCTGAAAGGTTGCCGACCCCTGTTCTAGCTGATGAACGTACAGTAGTCCTTTAGCGCTAACAGCAGAGCTGTGATACTGCAGCCCCCAAGTTCAGACCCAAGAACAGCTGTTTATAGCAGGACCTTTCCCTTCAAGGAGTTAACATTTTACGAACAATAGCAGCCCAACTGGAGCGGTCTTAAATGGTTCAACACAGACCTGTGCCCAGCCGGTTTCAGCCCACCTTTGGGAGGTGCTTGTCCTCTGACTCCATCTCAGGAGGGGATGGGGGAAGATATATGAGTTGAGGTTAGTACGGCATTCAGATGCTACGGTGATAAGTAACACCGACACGTAAGGATCTCTCATATATGTAACTAAGACACACACACATGCTCTGATCTTGAAATGTTTTCCCCCTTCCCTTTCTGCAATTCTTGTGCTAATTCTAGAGTGTGTCTTGTATGTAGCTTCACAAATTCCATGTTTAGTTCTTTAATTGTGTTTAGCGTAATAGACTCCTACTCACCTAGCAGACTCACTCCGATTTATTTTCTATCAGAAATACTAACGAAAGCATGTGATTCTCTCCCCCTAGACTGGCAAACTGAAGCGTTACTACACAGACCTTGAAGCCCTTGCTATGGTAACTGCAGCTTTGTGTCATGATATTGATCACAGGGGCACCAACAACCTGTATCAGATGAAGTAGGCACTTTTCTATTGCTTTAAATGATTCCATTCACTGTGCGCGTGTAGTGGTGGAGTGGGATCTAACCGAATTCACACCACATCCTGTTCCCACTGACTCTATCTGACGGCTGCAGAAGCTGTAGTTTGATAGCGCAGACCAGGCTATTGTAGCAATCGGTGTTTGGCCAAAGCAGCAGTTCGTTTTTTAAGAGGGGACATTAAGCTAGAGAGATACTGGAGGTCGGGGGGAAATGCTATGCATGACCCCCAAAACTTGAGCTTCAAAGTGGGAGCCAGGAGTGAGCTGGTCACAACCCCTGCTGGGTTTCTAAGCAGCAAGCGGGGTCAGCGTGTCATGGGTGGTTACTCTTTGCTATTACATCAGACATTCTGCTCATGCTTATAGTCTAGGGCAGAGGTGGGCAAACTACAGCCCACGGGCCACATCCGTCCCACAGGACCGTCCTGCCCGGCCCTTGAGCTCCCGGCCAGGGAGGCTAGCCCCCAACCCCTCCCTGGTGTCCCTCCTCCCCCGCAGCCTCAGCTTGCCGTGACACCAGCGCTCTAGGCGGCAGGGCTGTGAGCTCCTGCCGGGCAGCGTGGCTATGAGGGCTGCTGGCCTGCCCCAGTGCTCTAGACTGCGCGGGGGCGTGGCTGGCGCCGGCTGGGCGGCACGGCTGCCAGTCCTGGTGCTCTGAGCGGCATGGTAA